GGGCAAGCTAACGTTGATCCAATTTCTGGTCCTGCGAATAAGCCTATCGTTAAAAACTAACGATGCCAAAGATCCATGCATATTTCTATACTTGAGTGACCCTCTGATTTAAGTTTTAAGTCCTCAGTAAATAAATAATTTTTCTTTTAAAAGAATCTTAATCCCAGTTTTATGCACAGAATCCGTTTAACTAGCAAGCTACAAAAAATTCTTTAAAAAATTTCGTATAATTAGCATTCATCGAACTCATCCATTCAAAGCGGTCAAACCAATTAACTAATAAACTTTTAAAAATTAATGGTACTTCTACTTCATATTTTCATTTCAGTGCAATAAACTTCAAGTTAGAACGTAAAATAATTCATCTTGTTACACATCAACATAAATTATCCTTTTCTAAAGGTTGCGCAAAAAATTCAATTTTTTTGTTGCAGAAATAAAAAAATTGAACCATGCTTAAAATAATATTTACACTTTCTTATCAATGTAATGTAAAAAAATGTATGGTACCATTACTCTGTTTCCCCAAATAATTTCTTGGTGATGAAAATTGACCTCAGTAACCAACCAATGGTTTTTCCAATCTTTTGACATATAATTCATTTTTTAAATCATCAATTGACAAATTAAAATTGTCAATTAAATTATCAGTTGAAGCGTTGATATCATTTGGGTGCAATAATCCACTCTTACTATCCGTAAAATTTTATTTTAGTTTTAGTTTAGATAGTTGAAAGACGTTTTTTCTTGCGAGTTATCAATTTTATGCGAGTCTTAACGATCTGACCCATTAAGGTTACCAAGTTACCAGGAAATAGGAATAACTAATTCTTCCAACGGCGGTTGACTATAATCATTATATAATAAAAAAAAATGGCTTAGAATGGCTTCAGTAAATTCCAGGAATAACATCGCAGATCTCCATCCAGAAGAACACTAAGATACTGCGCGTGACCATCAGTCTCCCAGGCCTGATAAAGGACCCGAGAATGAGGATGGCTGTGACCATCTACAGGAAGGAAAAAAGAAAAGTTTTTATATATGTATAAAATTTAATCTGTAATTTACTTATAATTTACAATTTATTTTTTTTTTATTTTATAATTTAAAACAAATTTAGCTTTGTTCTTCGCAGCAGTTTTTAAAGTTCTAAAAATAGCGTAAGAAAATGTAACAATGGAACTAGTCTGGCTGGAAATGTTATGCGTCGTCAATTTTAATACATTTTAATCGAATGTGAATTTTTATCTATTTTATCAATTGTTATCAGCATCGATATGCTTTAGAATAAAAACTCCATTCAAAATGGTGATCAGAAAAGTTTAATTAAAAATTTTGCCTTTAAAAATTAAAATTAAAAGTTTTCTCAATCATTTTTATTTTTGCAAGTGTGAAAGTAGGATTATTTTAATCAAATTGACTAACAAATTTCCATATTCTTTTGTTGTACAAATAGTCTTCATAGCCAAATATTTTCGAAAATATTTTGCTATTGCCATATATATTATTATTATGTATTATTTGCGTAAGAGTAATCTTTTAGGCTTCTATTTCAGTGGCTTATAGCATAATAATCAAAAAAAAAGATTTATTAACAAGATTCAGTTTATTTTGCAGAAAAAGGAGACTAGATTCTATTTGCTACAAAAAAAAATTATCAGGGTGGGCTCTTTCATAGAAAAAAATTTATATGAGATTAGATCATTTAAAGAAAAAGAATTTATAGGACCCTGGGTGTTTTGCAGCGAAGGAATTTACAGAAGGTTTGGTTATTCCACAAGAAAATGATTTATAGAATATTAAATTACTTTTCTTGCTTTTCTCGTTTTATCAAACTTGGATTTTTGTCGTTTTTTTTCATTGGTTCAATTTTCCATTTTTTTTTTCCTTCTTAATGCATTAAATATTTTGTATTTTTAATATACTCGATTCTAGTGTAATAAAATTAATAAAAATATTGCGTGTGGACGGTTATTAAAGCATTAATTTTAAAGATTTAACGGGAAGTCAGTTTCTATTTTATTTGTATTGAATAATTTTTTTGTGCTCAAACTTTGCGAAATGTACAGATTCTATAATAATAATAATCAACGATGGAGATTTGCGATTGCTACGAATGCTATAAACGAACAAACGAACAAATTCTATCTACTCCCTATTCCCAAATGACTAACTGACGACTCTGTGGCGAAAACAATTTCATCCTATTGGTCAATGGAGCCAAACCAAATCAAACCAGAAACGGTGAATGGAGAAAAAGCAAGTGAAGTAAATTGTAGATTGTAGATTATAGACTGTAGATTGTAGCAAGTAGATTGTCTTACTCGATGCCATAATTGTCCGTTCCTTCATATATTTGAAAAATACAAGTATGTTAGTTAGTTAAAATTAGTTAAATTTACGTTTGTTTGAAGAAAACTAGGCTCTGTTGTTTCACTATCGATTTTAATATGGCAGTTGTTTAGTATGCAGTAAGGCTTTAATTCGGAGAATACCTTTGCTTTATATTTATCTGCGCTGTTTTTAGATTTGGGAGAGTTATTCGGGTGAACTAATGGGTGAAATATGTGCATTATTCTCGTGAATTCTTTGCTGTAGTATTATTTTTACTTTATATTTTTTCACCATTAAACGATTCTTTAATTGCTACAAAAATTTTGTCAATATAGGAGTTAGCATAGGTCTGGTAACTCAGCCTCGAGAGCGAATGGAACAAAGTTAACTGATAATGGTGGCATTTATTAGAAAAGTATTTTGTCAGTGCATCTGATTTCATGCATGGAAAGGGCTTTTGCCAAATATTGTTTCAAATACTTCTTATTTCTTGAGTGCATAAGTCTCAAGGCATTTGTAAGATTTGAATAATTATCGTATAGCATGTAATAGCATCTCGTAGACTGATTCGCAATTTTTCAATTTTTTTAAAATATATCTATAACAAATAGCGTCCATCGTTTGTGGCTAGCGCCAATCTCTGACAGTTATTATGGCTAGAAATTTTTGCCATGGAATACTTGGTGATAGAAGTGCAGACGAGCCGCCACCATCACCGGGATTTTTTGCTGATGGCTTTAATCTTGCATAAGCATAGGCTTGAAGGCAGTCAATCGTTGTAAATGCGATTATTAAACTCGGTTCGCATTCACTTCATTCTTGCAAGAGGCACGATCTGCACTCTGATGCTAATCTGAGCACTGCTCAATTTAACTGCTTAATTTCGCTGCCTCATTTTTAACGAATATAATGGAAGATGTTGCATTTTTTTAGAACGAATTTTATAAAAGTAATGATTATATATCGTTTCGATTTTCATCCTCTTATGAATCGGCCTTTATTTGCTAGATTTATGCGTCCTTTTCTATTGACTTTTTCACTTAGATGGCCATCATTCTTGTTACATAACAGCCGTTTTCTTATCGATTTGAAGGAAACTAATATTATGAGGGTGTTTAATTGTGTTTATTTCTCGCACTTCGAGTCGGCATAGGCTTGAAGGCAATCGTTACAAACGCCTTTATTAAACTCGGCTCGCCTTCATACTTTTCTTCATGCGTAGAAAGCAATTGTTGTTAATCACTTGCGTTTATCGCGGCACTGATGCTTATTCATGTTTTTTCCTTTTCATGGCGATCGTATCACCTTCGAATTACTCTTGTAATTACGCGTATATTCATTATTTTATATGGTTGCATTATTTACTGTAATTATTGCTTCTCTTTCATTTCACTCATCAAATGACTTTGTAGTAACATTGGTTTCAGGTTAATGGTATTTATTTATTTTTTCTCTGTTTAAATTTTTAAATTTAATTCTTCTGTCCTAAATTCCTCTGTTTGATATTCAAATTTTTGGCAATTATGAATTTTTATAAATTTTTATAATTTGAAATTTCACAAAATTTCCAGTTTCAATTCGAATTATTTTTAAGGGAACGAAATTTTCTTAGGAAAAATCAGCAATTATGACAGATATTGACGAAGAAAGTTTTGATTCAGAAAATATTCGTTTAAAAAATTGTAAGTCAATTACGAACTCAATTAGAAATTTCAAAGGTCTAATGTCAGAATTCAAATGTCAGAATTTGTCACTTAAACGACATCGAAATTCATTTTTTGATCAGAAACAGCAAACATAATCGAAAAGATAATACAAAATCATATTAGCACAAATAAAATTTTTTTCTTACAATAAAATCCTTTATTGAATGATTAAATTAAAAATATATGTTTAATGCTCATAATTCCTGGTCGAGCTAGCTTCGCTGGTTGTTAGTGAGATTAGAAATTTTACGGAGTCTGATAGAAGGAGGCTCGCGATCGTCACCCAATCACCTTAATGACGGGCTTTCTTCTGCAGGGAGTAGAAGCCGAGCTCTTGCGTCTCAACGCGATGATCTGAGTCAACTCGACCGTTTGATTGCTTCGATTTAGAAAAAAAGATTTAGTAGGAATTTAGTAAGAAATATTCCATAAAAATTCATGGAAGATGAGTTAATTTAATTTTCATCATCAAAATCTTATATATTATTATGCATTACTCCCTTCTTGAATTATTAAATTTTGCCTAAAGATTTTGATGAAATGAAATTACACAAATTCTCAGTTGTTATTTCATGGAATATAGGCTTTAAGACAACATAAAACTGGTCTAATTTTGCTCAAATTAAAGATAGTAAAGCAATAATTATTTGTGAACCCGCTGACAACAGTGAAATATATCACAGCAATTGCAAAGGACTGCTACAGGTGAATTATATTTTAAATTCCTCAATAAATCATATCACTAAAGATTTCAGCACATCCATTTCTTCGACCAAATTCGGTAATAATATCTTAAAATCTTTCATTCACTAACCAAATATCTAATATTCTCTAACCAAATTAACCAATTATTTTTTAAATAATTTTTCCTTATTAAATTTTGGTTGCTATTTATAATATAAATACAATTATTTGAAACATTGATAATTATAAGGATAGTTATAAATAATATAAAAACATCATTAAGGGCCCTCCAGTTATCTGTGAACAAGGACCAAGTACACCTTCATCACCGACAAACTCTAGATTACGAAGACCGAATCCACTTAGCTCAGACGCAATGGAGAGGATTAATGTGGTCTGTCTAATGCTGTTCCTTTGACTTTTGATGATAATATTCAATTAATGATATTAATGATATTAATTAATACTCCTTGAGATTTGCTTTGATAAATTAAATGTTACAAAATATCAGGTTGGACTGGTTTAGAAAGCAGCAAAAATCAAAGTTACTCAAATAAAATACAAAAAGTAACCAGTCTCTATTTTTTTTCAGTCGACAATTTGCCAACCTTTCCAAAAATTTGCTTCACTGAGCCCACATTCAACAAGTGATCTCGGTTCTAGCCCTCGGAGTTCTATAAGTGCTGGTACAAGCAGCTGTAGCCCAGGTTGGACTGGCTTAGGAGGTAGCAAAAAATCAAGGTGATTCAAACAAAGTAATTGAAAAATTAATTTTGTGTTTCCCAAGATATATAAATCTTAATATTTGTTTCATTTAAAGCAGTCGTCGTCGTCAAATTCCTTTTACCACGGAGCTTTGAATGTTGCCATAAAAATCTATGGATCCTTAGCATTTTCAAGTTTTAAGTTGAAATATTTTCTGATTTGAAATATTCAAATAAAAAATAACACAAATATAATTGGTCTCCAACATATCTCCTGAAAATCGCTATGGATTCCATGAACTCCATGGTTTGACCACTGATTTAAAATATTTTGACCCATCTAAAAATTTTCTATTTATATATTAATTTTTGCAGCCTGGAATGTGATACTGATTCGGATGTTTTGTCGAAGGATCTCCTTTCACCATGTATGACTTATTCTTCAGCACCATTTAGTCCATTTAGCGATTGTACTGAGCCACCGGATACTCCTCATTCAATATTCGGTGTTTCTCCTGCCATATCACCAAATACATCAATGAAATCACTTCATTTTAGGTATTTTTTGGATTTAAAATAAATATTTTTTTCTCTACCATTAATTTTTACAAATTTCAATATCTCCATATTCAGATGAGATTGTGAAATTCCCCTATTCCCCTATTCTTTGCAGTTTTGATTCATTGCGTTGTGCAAGTTCCTTATCTGGAAGAATCGAAATCGAATTGAACAACCAATTTCTTACTCCGAATTCATGCTTGAATTCAACCACAAGGTACATTGGTAAAAATTCAAAAAATTTAGGCATAAAAAATTGAATTTTTTCAAATCAACGAAAAGTACTTTTTTCACTTTGTGGATTGAATGATTCACGAATTTTGAACCAGTTTACTAACATAATTCGATTCAATACTGATAGATAATACTGATAGTTGGAAAGAATGGTCGAGCAATATGGTTACTTCGATGTGCGTCGAGCATTATAGGTTCGATTCCTTGCATTGGCAAGAAGTAATTCTATCATTAAAAAATTTGGATGGTGGTGATGACCCATTTTTAATCGCGAAATGATTCCTTGGAAAATTTTTAGAAGTGATGAGCCAGCGAAGCAGTTTACTGATTTAGAATAAAAATAAAAGATAATTTGAAAATTTTAAATTAATTAGTGGTTCAAATAAAATAATGTAAGAAATAGCATTTCCCAAGATCCTTCAACTATCTCAAACTAAAAAATTCGAGAATAGTGAGAGCATTTCAAACCGAATTATTGAAACATCTCAATGGTAAAAATATCAATGACTTTTCTGGAATGGCAAATGAATAATGGTCCAAACTATAAGTGTCTTCGAAAATTAGCCATTTCCTTGCTAGGGTATACTAACAGGAAATGCGCTAGTTGTGTATCGGAAACAACTGTCCCAATTGTCTGAAAAACGGTCAATGCACGAATGTCAGATGATTTTAACTACCAGATGCTTCGAAGATTTGTAACGAAAGCAGTAAGGCGGAATAGAAATCACTATTGGAAAATGGAGGTCGCTGTTCGATTAGGCGATAATAGGAAACTATTCCGCATTCAACTCGGGGAACGATCAGTGAAATGGAAAGGGGCAGCAATAGCCTGCCGGTTAAGAGTATTAAGGACCGCTTCATTATATGGAAAGAATTCTTCGAGGCCAAAATTAACCATGAAGCGCCATCTGTTGCCCTGATATAGCTGATACGTTCGCCGAACCGCTTGCAATTACGAGCCTTTAATAGAAGAAAAAATAATCTCCTTTATTCATAAGCTTAAGGCCAACAATACTTCGGGAGAAGATGGTCTTCAGGCTCTTCAAATGTTATCCATCGTCCTTCACAATGCACCTTCAACAAATGCACTCTCTAGTATGGAAAAAAGAAATATTAGCAGTTGATTGGAGCAAAGCAATTCTCAAGAAATGTGATAGGACATACTGCTACAATTATCGAGGAATCAGCTTACTAGATGTTTCAACGAAAATTTTTTCCTTCCATTTTTACTCAACAGACTTATGGAAGACTTACGTGACAGCAGGATGCGCCCTAATCAAGCTGAATTCAGACCGGTTGTCTGACCTGATGTTCACGTTAAGAAGGGTGTTGAAACATCACTTGGAACCAACCATCACGTGTTTCATCTTGATTTTTCGGATGGATTTGATTCAGTTGATAACGCTTTGGAAGATAATGGTGTTCCAGAGAAGGTCTTCAACTCAGAAAGGCATTTTATCAACGCACATCGTAGTTTGTGCATATAGGAAACTGGCAAACCCCTCGGAAAAAACTGGTGTCCTTCAAAGGTGCCTATAATATTTAACTAAGCTACACTATAGACTAGATAATGGACATCGCTTTTAAGCACTTAAGCGATATAGAAATCAGTCCAGAGTATCGTTTCACAGATCTTGATTAAGCTGATGATGTAGTCCTTTCTAATCCTTTTCCTTCCTTTCTTTCCTTCCTTCCTTTCTTTCCTTCCTTTTCTTTGCCATCTTCCAGTTGACGAAACCTTTATGGAGCCGTCATGAAATCACCATAAAAACGAATGTCCGCACCTTTATAGCCGTGATTCGTTTGATCTTGCTATATGGCTCTGAGACATGGCCAATGCAGAATGACAGTGCAGAATACAAAAGCTATGTGCCTTTGACCACTCTTGTCTAAGGTACATTTTACGGATCTGTCGGATAAAATATCGCATTCACATGATCGCATTCACCGTTCAAATACCACTTGCATTAATAATATTATCACAGAGCATCGCTTTCGCTGGTTAGGGCGCGTTCTCCGTCGTCCACCACAGCAGTTAACGCATATTTCGTTACTTGCTAAGCCGTGGTTAGCATCAAAAGCGAGCTGGGCCAATCAAGACCTAGACTGATACGATCAGAAGAGATTTTGAACGTAGAGGTGGACCAACAATATATGGACTTCTTCTTTTTTTTTCTTCTAACTGGTCCACCTATACGTTTAAAATCTTCTCACCGTATCAGTCCAGGTCTTGATTGGCCCACTTCGTTTTTGACGCCATCCTTCACACGGTTTAATATATTTGGACTTCAAATATATTTGGACTTAGAGAAAAAGGAATGGCTTCTATTATTGTCGACGATGGCATCAGACCACGCCGATTGGAAACGCCTTACCCTTGTAACCCTTAGAGCAAGCCTAACCTAATGGTGAGGGCTATTAGAAGAAAAAATACAAAATTTCATAAAATAGAATTGAGATTGCAAATTCATATGATAATTTTTATATTAGATTTATTTAATGATATTTTATTTTAGAGAAAGGAGTCGCTCTGATGGTGAAATGGCTGCAAGAAATGAATTGGATGCCTCTACAGTTCATTCTACTATTTCTGTGACTCTTTTTGGTTTTCTTTTTGCACGATCATTGTGGATGCTATCAATTTCAATAAAATTTTGTTTCTAGATGCCATCAACAGTTATTCAAACGCTTTCATCATCTGGTCAATATAAGAAACGCCTTTTGCAAAAGTACAATAAAGAACAAGAGGACATAGTTCGAAATCGAGAAACTCTATATCCTTGCCTTTCAAATGAAGCTCTTTCTCTTAATAACTCTTTTGAAATTTCAAAACCCACTTTCGATACAAAAGTGTGTTTTTCTTAATATATTCGGGAAAATTTTATCAAACAAAATGGACAAAGTTGATAATATTTAATAAATTTTAGAATTCATGTTCAAAAGATGATAGTCATAAGCGAGCGATCTTATTAAGACAACCCACAATTGAAGAATCATTCTCACCGTCACCGGATTCACTTCCATTGCAGGTCAATCATATCAAATTATATGATCTATGATCAACATCATAATACTATTCAAAGTAACAGTACTCACCATTTTCAGTTCGGATTTTCACTAAAAAAGATCCCTTTATCAGAAAATCTCTTTCCAAATGCAAATAATGTTGATATATCAGAAGCTGATAAAATACTTATTTTTATAGCTTAATAAGGTGCCAGAATTTAAATATCTTGTACCCATCCTAATTTCAAACGGCCAAGCGAAAGAAAAAATTGCAACCCTGATAATGTACTTAATGAAACCTTTATGAAGTCACGAAATCACTATAAAAAAGAAGTATATTTAATTGTAATTCGCTCGATCTCGCCATATGGTTACGAAACATTATCGATGAAGGTGGAGGATACAAAGAAATTTTCTGTCTTTGACCACCTTTACGGGTTCGTCGAGCGAATAAAATATCACATGATCGCATCTACCTTCGTTCAAATACCACTCGCATTAACAGTACCATCATCACATAACGTTGCCTTCGCTAGCTTGGGCATATCCATCGCACGAATCGACATACATTTCGCTATTTGCTAAACTCTGTGGTTGATAAAGCGAGGAAGATAGAAGGAAGATCTGGATTGGTACAATCGCGAAATATTAATATTTTGTATGTATAGATGGACCAGTAATATAGGGACCAGTAATATAGTAATATAGGGACTTAAGATTAGACGATGGAAAATGAAAAAGCTTTTATTACTATCGACGACGGTCAGATCGAACACCTTTGAGACCTCTTATCCCTTGTACCAACGGAACCAACCTAACCAATAACGTGAGAGCTATTAGAAAAGGAAAAGTTCTCCAACAGGTCCTGTTCATTGAGTATATTCTGATATATTCAGTTGTAAATAACTCTTTATAAAGGGTTGTTTAATTGTAAACGCTCATTTTATATTGTCTAATCATATTTGTCAGACAAATATGTTCATTCTTACTCCATCTTCATAAAATCAAATAACGATCGTAATCTCCAGTACTATTTTTTTTGCAGAATCTCTCTAAATTCAGTGAGGCTTTTGGTAGTCAACATCAGATTGCTTCATGGATGCACAATCAGTTATTGGCTCTTCAAAAGCAGTGGTTCGCTGAACCAGTAATGCCGTCATCAAATAGCCAGTTGCAAATACCTCGACCATGTCTCACCGTATGTTCCAGTCTTTCGTCACTTTTTGAATCATCTGTTTTAAAATATTCGTTATTTTTGTTTTTCTGCATTCGTTTTCATGCATTTTGTTTTCAAATCATTTTTCGCTACTTTTGCTAGTGCTTATACGTCTCGTGAAAAGTTTTGTTAATCAGAAAGAAGAAAAAAAACTAAAATTTCTGAAAGAAGTGACTTGTATACTCGTCGACGGTTTCACGAATTAGAGTTGAAAAACAGCTGATTGTAGATTTTATTATTGCCCAGATACCAATCTAAAAACGATGTGCAAAATGATATCAGTTATTATAACGAATTGAAATAAAGGATTACGAAGGACGTATGGTAGAAACTGACTGACTAACGGACCGACCGATAAACTCACCGACCCAATCACAAACTCACTCAATAGCAAACTGACCAAGTAAACATCTGATCTTTGGTCGCATTCCTTCTTGTTTTTTATAAGGAATGTTTTTTAAGGAAAGAAAGAGATTTTAATTTACAATTAAACGTATAATTTCTTCACAAATTGACGGTGTTTTTTTCGAGGGAAATTTACATTCAAAAATACCGTACAACTGATTTATGATTTTAAGCATGGGAAAGCGCTCATTATTTCGGTTTTTCCGACAATACGATTATTTTTTGTTGCGAGTAGGATTTGCGACCATATAATTATATTGCATGATTTTTATTTTCTTTCTTCTTTCAGCCCCCGATATTTATCTGATTTGTCATGTCATGTCATGTCATATCATATTCCTTCTTCTTTATGTTCCTGCCAGTTTGTATTGCCGTATCACCAGTGCTGATTTCTAGTTCATACTACCATGATCTGGTTGACCAGTACTTGATTTTTTGCCTAAATGAGGAAATTGCACAGAACCTTGGCCTTTTTTTGCAATTTTCTGCGGAATCTCCCATTTGATCTTGATGTTAGAAAGATTTAAGGCATATACCGAATAGATATTTCTGTAGATCATGCCAGCTATTTGGCTATATCTTTCAATTATGTGCTTTGCTTTTCTTGCATTTTGAGTCCTGTCTTATGCTTCATGCCTCGATAGATCTGGTATTTAATGCCTGTGCTTTGCTATAATCAATGCCTTATTTCTCTCTGTTAGTCCAGTTTTCCCAAGCACTTGTAGGATTTCTCAGCATCAGGCATTCATCTATCTTTAGATGGTACATTCTTCACCATCTTTGGCTGATGTGTTTTTGAATGTTTCGGGTCTCGTTCAAGGTGACTTTAACACTAATCATACCCTAGCCGCCTTCTTTTACCTAGTATATAGTCTTTGGATACACCGGAGTTCCATATCTTTCTTTTATCGTTCATGGTTTTATGGTAGTTATATCAGTTTGTATCTGATGACGCGTTCATGGTGTGAATTTTTTTCCATTGAGCTGGTTCCTTCCTTTTTATTCTTTGGTGGTGTTTGGATATCTGCCTTGTCCTTTCATCGTGTTTTTCATGTTGCGTGATATTAGCTAGTGATATTGCTGTGTGATATTAGCTAGTCTAAATATCTGCTATATGCCTCACTGTTAGTTCCACCCCATTAGTCCTAATTTCATTTTTTTTAATACTACTCGATCACAGTTCTCTACTCTGAATAAGATCCCCATGTTCTCGCTGTAGATTCCTGTTAGATGAATGAGTGAGTCAATGTCTCGTTTGCTTTTGGCGTATAACTTGATATCATCTATATAGAAAAAATGGTAGTTGCGCTATTAAAAATCTATTCGTTATCCATTTTTTGTTTTATTCAAGAGGTTTAGATTTATGCAGAATAAAAGCAGGGATAATAGCAGACAATGCTTTACCCCGATATATGTTACATTTAATAACCATTTGTACAGATTGTTTTATGTCGTCTTCCACAGTCATTGTATTCTCTATGAACGGATATTTATGATCTTGTTGACTTCGTATAGAACCAGACATTCACAGATCCTTGTGTGGCTTATACATATTGTGAAATTTTAGCAAATTAATGTGTGGTTAATTCCTAAATAAGGCTAATCATTTGCATGAAATTTAAGCTGTTTTTTTCCACTCCATTAAGATTTATAACACATGCGTAATAATTTCAGGTGAAATCTCCACAGTTGTTGGCACCACCTTCAACCCATACTTCTCGTACTTTTTTACGAGCCGTTTCACCACAGTTAGAATCGACATTGGGACCTATAAAAGTTTCATTTTTAGAGAAAAATTGAAAATTAGATTTCATGAAAATTGTGGTACATTTATCATATTTATTTGATAATCTTAAAGTTAATATTAACAGATTTTGATCTTAGCATTCTGCGATTTGGAGGCGAAGTCGATCCGAATCGGATGTTTCGTATGACAATTATATATGTAAACATTGTGGACAGGTGAAAATTTATGGTGACATAAAGATTTAATTGAAAGATTAACGGAATTTCATTCAGAGAATTTTGTCTCTATTTTTTTGGACATTCTATATAATATGATAAATGTTATAAATAATAAATGAAATGAAATTCACATTTTTTGGCAATGAAAATCGAACAAAAAATCAGGTTGTTTCAATGACGCTTTGGGAATGAGGATCATAGAAAAAAACGAGAAAATTTGTTAACTTTTATTTATAAAATTTATTTTTCAATTTTTCAGTATTTTGTTCAGTTAGTAGGCAAAGATGATTTAAAAATTTTGCTTGAAACTTAAGCTGAGTTTTGTGCAAATATATATATATATAATTTTAATAACAGTTTCAGAATTTGTATTACTTGCAGGCTTTTGCAGTGCACGACCGCTTGGCCAAACACATTGCTTCTCGACATCGAGATCGCTCAATTTCAGTAACCGGAGATGAAACCTTATCTAAATTACATAAATGTACTGTTTGCACCAAGTCGTTTGGGAGAAGTGATATGCTTACAAGGTGCCTATGCCCTGAGATTTGTTTTTTTTTTAAATAAAATCCAGTTTTAAACCTTGACATTAAACCTTTTCAAATTTCCTGATTTTTCTTATAAAATATGAAAGGTATTTTCTTTAAAATTTTTCCATAAATATTTTAAAGACATTAAATGGAAAGTTTAAAAAAGTTTAAAAGTTTAATGGAAATGGAAATAGATTAAATGATTAAATGATTCTAGACATATGCGGCTTCACACAGGCATCAAACCATATGGATGTCATATATGTGGACAAGTCTTTTCAAGAAGTGACCATTTAAGTACACATCAGCGGACTCATACGGGTGAAAAACCTTATCAGTGTCCACAATGTAACTATGCTGCGGTGAGCTTTTTTTTTTGAATATTATGATTTCGACTTGTGATCTTTTTTATTAAGAAATTCATATTATTTTTTAATTTATGTAGTGAAATTTTGCGGAAACTGAAAAAAAAATTATGTAAGCATTATTCAGGAGAAAAGATGGTAGATAAATCGCTTTTTCAGAGTAGAAGAGACATGATAACTCGTCACATGAAGACACATATAAGGCCAGGAGGTTCGCCGGAATTCAGTCCATTAGCAATTGAACGTCTTACCCTTGGTCAAATTCAGAGAAAATCAGCTCAGTCATCATCATCGCAATTTAAATCAAGTCAATTCGACTTCAGTCCATCATCTTTCCAATTGAATTCTTCAGAACAACGACATGATTTTTCTCAAGATAATATCAGCTCGGGTTTGGCTTTAATTCACAGAAGTTTTCGGAAAAATGGTCATGCGATTTGCAAATAATTCCTAATTTATTTTTATTTTCTAAATTTAATTGACAGTTTAGCATTATTATTGGCAATTATCAACGGTTTCTAATCTTAGCATTTCAAATTCCATAGGCGTTACTTGATATTGCCATTTCAGGCTTACATAAAAGTATGGATAATTTGGTAATTTTGGACAAATCGACAGTAAACTTAATTGGTAGTGGTCTGAGGCCAAGCGCATTTACTCCTAGTGTCAAATATAATTCGTCAAAATCAACCATTTCTGAAAATGCTTTTGATCCGAATAAACTTCTGATTCCTTGCACTTATTTTGGCCCACACTCCTCTCCACGAACATCGCCAGCCATAACATGCCAATCTAATTTATTTTTTTCATCTAATATTTCCTAATATTTTTTTAAGCTCATTATTTTTTATTCTAAGTTTATTATAAGTTTTGTCTTTTATATCTACGTGTTTCTGGATTTATGCCATACTGTTTGTTATTTTTCACTAAATATTTTTATTTAACTTTTAATTTGATTGGATTCATTCAATAAGATTTAACTTATATTTTATTATTTTTTGTTTTAATTAAGTTATCCAGTGATTAAATAGTAAAATAATCCTTATAAAAGGTTATAATATGTATAGCCAAAGAATGGCGCTAATTTAACTATAATGAATTTTACATTAAGGGCCAGTAAATCAGAAATCTGGGAATTCGTGTGTTGTGATGTGTGGTAACCCACATAGCTCGAGAAATCCTCCTTCAATAGTTCATCACTTGTCATTCCAATGCCATAATAATACTGCAACTACAGCAAGAGATAGGTAGTACTGGACTTCGGTCATGACAAACCTTCATGCGATTTTATTATCAGATCTGGAACATGGTCAGAGTTTCAAAGAAATTTTGTTTCTTTTTAGAGACTTTTTTTTTAGATATTTTTAGAAAAAAAGGAACTATGGTGATTAAACAATATATTAGACATACAAAATTTTCAAATTGTTTTATATTATATATATTATATATATTAAAATATATATAAATAAAATATATAAATATATAATATATATTTACATGTTTTATAATAATATATATAATATATTATAAAACAAATGTTTTGCAAGAATCCTAAGAAACAGTTCAAATTAAAGTTAAATGAAACTGAAGTTAAATGAAATGAATAAAATGAGATAAACATACTGTCTCTGTTACCAATCGTTGTAGCTATCCTGGATAAAAAAAGGAGTATCAAGTAACTTGTGGATGATCGGTAGCAATACCAGTGTAACATTCCAAATATGCTGCCGGTTAATATTTGTCTGTCATGATATTTGTTGCTGCAAAATCCAGAAATTGTTGCTCTATCATTAAAGTTAATCTCCATATTCTAATAAACTTTCTAAAATATTTCGCTTTTACTTATATCTTTAAATTTCTTAGAACTCGAATTTTTTGGAAATGATTATCGATACTCTTGTCAGTTCTGTTTTCAATATAAATGATACAATAAAAATAAAAAGTAGGATAGCCGATTGTCTTTTAAGAGGTAAGGGCTTGGCTCCTGTCATCCCACCTTCCACGTTCGACGGAGCTAAATCTGTCATTATAAAATCCGGACAATACCACGACCAGTTTGAATTGACTATCTGACAAATTTACATCAATAAAACTATGGAATTCTTACATAAATCGACAATATTGGAGTAATGTAGTAAAAAATAAAAATAAAAGGATAGAATTTACAAGAAGCGAAAAATAATACCAAAGATAAATGTAAATTAGGTAATTTATAACAATATTTATCGCCAATTTTCGCGAAAATTGATCTCTTGATCATTAAAACCAGAAAAAAATCTAACAAAGAATGGAATTTTCGAAGTGACTTTTGACTCAAAATTATTTGGTTATTTGGCTATATGTGGAGAGGCATTATTTATTCAGAAAATCTCACTTCGTTTTTTATGAGCATTTGTTGACGCTTAATTTTAATTTGATTCTATTGTTGATTAAATAATTAAGTATTTAATTCATTTTTAGAAATTAATAACCTTCATGGAATTGCAACGAGAGACTTGAAAATACATCGCTTTTGTTGCCCGTGAAAATGGCTTAATCAGTAAAGGCTCTTACTATTCAGAGTTATTCGAAATTAGAAGGCCCACTGCATTACTTACTTCAAAATATCTTCATCAAATATATATATATATATATACGTTGTTATCGAGAAAAGGGAAAAGTGTTAAATTTCACAAATTTATCAAATTGAATTTATCGAATAGCGCTTGCATTAATCATATTTGATTAATTATCTTTCTTCATCATTTTTAGTTGCATCCTTAAAAAATTAATTTGGAAAACCAAAATTTTTTATTAAAATTATTAAATATTCAAATCAGTTTATCAAATCAGTTAAGGGATATTATGCATAGATATGTTGAATTATATGTTGCTTCGATTAAATCAAACCATCTAGGTTCCAAAGGATTAAACCATGCTTCTGCCTCTAAAAGATTCTCTGGTGAAAAAGTTTCATCATAGTAACCGATCGAGTTAGCAGTACCAAGAATGGCTATTGTTAGAGGAAGCATTAATCTGCTTTAATTGTGATTCCTAGGTTTCAATTTGTGTTTCAATTTCAATTCTCTGCAGATAAAATTCGAGTCGCTCGCAAAACATATTCTTTTTTCATAAATAGAAGAGAAATTCTCGAGGTCACAAAGTATCACAAATTTTAGACAACCCTAATTTTGAAAAGCGAAAAACCAGTTTTCTGACCATTTTTAAGGGCTTAATTAGTGAATCCATTTTTTTTCTGTTTTTTCCACGTTTGACTTGATCTAATCATTCTTTTCCTTTCAAAGATTGGTTCAATATTACGATTTTTTCAAAAAGAAGTGTTTGACAATAATAGTTTAAGAATATTAAATTTTCACAGCCATTTAGTTAATGAGGCGAATAATTGAATTATTATCGGTTGATTTTAAAAAACAAAGGTTTGAAAGAATTCGCGAGGATAATGAGTGTTAAAGCGAGATTATTGGCTAAACAAAACCTAAGAAATCGAAAAAGGTCGGAAAGGTCAAAATGTCAAAGGTCATCGCTCTAATAACACTTTCCCTTTTTCAAAATGATCTGTTTTTAACCAACTTAGGGTTTTAACGATAGAAATTCATGCGATAAATATTACATTTTTCGAGAAATATTAAAGATGGCCAATGCACAATGAATTCGATCAGGGCATATATAACTATCAGAAAAATAAGCAGATAACCGAAGAAATGACTCCATTTCCGGAATTCAGATAAATGGATTGAATTTACCGCCGCTTATCCAGCGGACACTGATTGGTTTTATTTCTGCAATAAGCTGAAAAATAGCAAAATTAACAAATTAAAATGGCGATATTATATCAATAATTCTTGCTTCAAAGAAAAAAGAAAAAATTGCAGCACCAGTAAATCGGAAATAAATTAAGTGACGCAATCAAAAGTATTCGTTTTTTCCATTTTGCATGAATCGATTCGCTATTAGAATAAAATCCATTTCCAGAGAGTAATAGAAGAACATTTCGTTCATTAGCACTATAGGATTAATAACAGTTTTTTTCTGTCGGGAAATAGAAATCGGACCTATGGCTCCACCGTAATGAAAGCAATATGTCAGTTCACATTCCTAAATGAGACACTTGAACTAATAGATGATCCATATATCATAAAACCCAAATATTTATTATATTTATCATTAGATGTTTATATATTACACATTAAAAGAAATAGATAAAAATAGATAAAACTAAAAAAACTGAATCAAAAAGTTGACTAAATCCAATTTTCATCGTTGGGTTAACTGTGCCAAAAAGAAAAATGTTCATTAGAAAATATTGATATTGCGTATTCGATATATTTGACATTTTATGTTTTATTAAGTAAGTGAAACAAGCAGGTAAAGCGGATAAAATAGCATCACCTCATCAATTCTCCAGGTTTTCTTTCCTGATGAATGGTCTATAAAATGCGAAATAATCTATTTTGACTGGAAAATAAATACTCCTTTATTCAAAATGATAGCTAGAAATGATTTTGCGAAATTTAATTTTAGGTGCTAAGTTTCATAAAAGCAAATAAAAGAGAAAGAAAATTAGTTAATTAAGCGACATTTTTTAGGCTTAAAAACCACTACAAGGATCACTACTAACAAGTTGCCAAGGATCCATATATGAAGCGTGGAACTGCAAAGGATTCACAACTATTATCACACTAAAATAAGTTTAATCACCATCTTCTTCACCAAACCACGTGTATTTGTCCAGCAAACAGATGCACCCGATTCCACGAGTTAATATTAATGCTTTGTCTGTAAGTAAAGCTTTACATTATGCTATTATCATAAATGGTCTAAAGTTTTATTTAAAAAAGTTAAATAAATAGTGAATATGAAAATGATCCTTAATTTTTTACAGGGGCAAGATAGGGTCGAGTGGTATTGGCTCAAATTATCGTGCTGAGAGGGAAGTTTTCTGACAGGAGTAAACATTAGAAAATCCATGCGGTTCTAGTGATCAATCTGTGCTCCTATCACCAAGCGATTTCCTGACATTTCCAGTAATACTAATATCCAGAGGAACTAGCTTCACTAGAAATGGTGAGCATAGACCACTTCACCATTTTTTTTATGGATAATTGTTTTGCCTTCTACTATGGTGCTTTAATTAGAACTCATTCCTTCTATATCAATTGTAAAACATTCATCAACAATCTTTAACGTAAAAAGTGATATTTTATATATAACAAATAATAACTTCATTGGAATAGAACATCTTACGTAATTGTAAATCGAAATTGCTTTCTACACAGTATCTGGGATCCACGCAATATTTTTTTCTATGCTATTCCAAATGAAAATGTCTGAATTATAAATGCTTCTTACCTTGACTATTTTTTTTCAAAACGTTGTCGCATTTTCTTATCAATCTACCAATTGCTTGATCTATTCGATCTTGAGAAATTCCGGACAATTTGAGTCGGACGCGTCGATATGTTTCTCTAGAAATGAAAAAAAGGAATTGGATAATTACATATTATAATTGTTATATTATATTATTTAGAAATTTAGAAATTTGTTTTTTTGATATTTTAAGGTAAAATTGAATCACCTTGACAATTCGAGCCAATAGCTCATTATTTTTGATGCTTGTGCAACATTATTGCGAACTATGTGTAGAACTTCTAAAGTGCTATTCGATTTCAGTGTTCTTAGAATATTCATCATCATTAACCGATTTTCGTAATCATCTATGGTATAATTTTCGTCGCACTAAAAAATATTTTAAAAAAATTTTTTACGATATGATTTAAAATTGCAAAAACAAAAAAAAATAAAGCAAAAAAAAATTTATTCAGTTCGAAGACCTGATGATGCTGACAAATGGCCTTTTATATCACCAAAGATTCCCTCGTGAAACTACCTCATCTTATTAAAAGCCAGCACAAGATTTAGTGAACATCAATCACTTATTTATAAAGATTAAGTAGGACAATAATCATGTTAATAATAATGGAGAACAATTTTTATAATGCAGTATTAATATTATTAATATTAATATTATTACTCCGTAATATTTAGGTGGATAATTCTATTTTTGAACATGCATGAATATAGGGTGCTAAAACTATATCAATAAGCATTGTCCTAACACTTAATAGGTACATTACCATATTACAGCTTATCTTTCATGGAAAAGGTTCAATTTAAAAATATTTTTAAGTTCCTTAACTTAGAACTGCAAGATCTAAAATAAGATTATATATCTACTCATTAAAAAGTGTATTATTTAATGGATAAATTTAAATTAATGAAGTTAAATTGCAAATTTCAAATTTAATTTTAATCACGGCTAATGATCTATTTTTTTCAAATAATAGTATGGCCTACCTTAATGAGCAAGGTTTTGACTCTTTCCAGTATTGACTGTATGCCTTTATTACAATAAGAAAGTGGTTGTATGTTCGGACAAAGTATGGAAAGATTTCTTATTTCGCATCCTTTTGTTACTTTCACTAAATCATCCACGAAGAATTGGGCGATTCCACCAAGTTGTAATATTCTAAAACAGAATTTTTCAGAATTTGCAAATTTTTTTGATTTTTTATTCGAGGTCTTCCTATTTTGCGCAGATATAATCACTTACTCGAGTGATTTGCCACATAAGGCGTTTGTTATGTATAAGTGTGAATATGAGTCCAAAACGCAGGTCTCATACTGGAAATATTTCAGATTTTCGCAAAGTTCTATTGATGACCACAGTTTTCGGGTTGTAAGTTTGGACTGCATTATAATACAGTTTAGAGCCAATTGCTCCAGGGAGCTCGAGAAGTATGATATAAATTTCGAAACCTTAATTCGAAAGCATAAATTTTTTCTTATTTTTCTTATTTGAACTTATTAGAAATTATTCTCACATAATTCGGATCCTTTCTTCATAAACAATAAAATTTAGATTTTTAAAGAGACTAATTATATTAAGCCCAACAATTGTTTCACAATGCGATGATTTACCTGATCTAAGTCGAAGTTCCAACTATCATCAATACCAACTATGGTCAATTTTTGCATTTTAACTCTTCTTCTATTATTAGAATGCAACTTGTTTATTTCATCCAAAAACGATGAACATAATGAGCCATTAATTTTAGTTTCAAGCCAAAGATGTTGCAAGTGATTTACTCGAGAAGCTAAATTATTTAAACAAACTAATTTCAAACTAAATGGAGTAAACAGAATGAAAAATAATTATGGCTCAATATCGTATTAAATGTTGATATGAAAATATAAATGCTTCGACAAATTTCTAAACCAGTCGATCCAGAACAAAAGGTAGCCAGCCACTGGCTGTTTTCAGATAAAATAAGCATTCAAAGATGAAAATTTTAACCCAAGCGTTTCAGAATTTCCTTGGCTTGCCAAGATTGTACAGTTATGATATTTTCGTCGGTACATGTGCTCTTGTCGAATACTTCGGGGGCCAAATAATTACGAAGTAGTTCCGGATGGTTGATGTAAATCTCATATTCATCATCATCGTATCCCGATTGAATTTTTAAAGGAGGAAATTCAATTGTTGATGCTTTGAAGAGATAATTAGTCATGCGACACACCTGGAAAAAAAGATAAATTTTAGTTTAACTTCAACGAAAAAATGTTAATATTCCTCACCTACATCGCTATATCGCTAAGCTCACTGCTTGTTATCGCTAAATGGCTAAGGAGAGAAATTTCTCACTGCAATAACCAGTAACAGCCAAAGCTTAATTATAAATGGTGGGCGCTAACTGTTTATTTATTTGATGAACCAAGGAAAAATTTGCCTCTCTCAATCGAATGCGTTGATAAATATTTAGTTGTTCCAGAATTGTCATCATTACATCTGGAAGGAGCTGTGGCCTATCGCACGATTCCATTTCTTTCTCCGCAGGTGAAATCTTATCGTCATTTCCGTATTTTATTGCTCTAGTTCTTAATTTTCTACTGAAACTGGATTTTTGCTTCATTGATGCAGTCCCATTAATTAGAGCTTGGCTCTTACAGGTCTTGCGATTTTTTAAGCGAATAAATCTTTTAATCATTTTCCAAAAAGATTCCCGACAACTAAAATCTGGATCGGAAGTTGAAGGTGAAGAGAACCATTTCTCAACAGATGTGGCTGAAGCTTCATTTTTACCCATATTTTTGTTATCTGAAAGACTTATACTTTAAAACTAATAGGAAAAAACTTTTATATTTCACTTGCAATGATAATTATGGTACAAATCACTTTTCAATGAAAATTGCATATGCAAATTTGAAGGATTTGGGCGACTCACTGGCATGAAAATTCACCATAAGCAGATATTAAGGAAAAAAAAACCCTCCAATGATCAGAGTAGTTTTAGATCTGAGAACATATATTTCTTGAAATATCCGACAGGAGCTTCTCGAAGAAATGTTGGTTAAAACTTGCCACCTCAAGTTTCAGATTGTGATTGTGAAATACGAGTGCTTTCTAAACGAATAAATTTATATATAAAAATACGATAAAGGAAGTGAAGTTAAAAAAGAAATGAGAATAACGCTGAATAGAAAAGATAACATCCAAATTCAATCACTGGATTCCTTATCCAGTCTCGGTTATTTCGGCAATTTTTCATGTTTCAAACTCCTGTATTTATTTGAAGTTTTCTTTATGGTGCAAAAATCATTTTTTTTTGATCTTGATTTTTGATCTAGGTTTACAATTTACAAGAAATGTAATTGTGGTACTAGGAGAGTAGTGGAATAAATTTTCATGGACCAGGCTATTTATTATTTATAAAATCTACGTTATTTAGATATGTAAAAATATATCTAATATGTAAACATGAAGGAAATTCAGCTTTAAGGTAGTCTTAAGAAAATTATTTTTAATTTTTCGCCTTTATGTGCATTATTATAAAGATTTAGGGAAAAAGTAAGCGTAATCATAAGGAAAACATATAAGTTAGCGATATTAACAATAACATATTCAACAATAAATCAAATTTTACATTAATATAACAGCTGCAACCAACAAGGCATTTGAATTTGAAGAATTCTAGTCAATATTTGTTAATTTGCGATGAATTATCGAAATTATGAATTTCACTTATTATCAGTTTTAGGGAATCATCATCGATCAATTTATCTTACTTGTTGCTTCAAAGCCTTTATATAATGTTTTAGTATCTAAAACGCTCCCACGAACATTTGAAAGGAACTGTTAAAATAAGATTCATGTTTTTCTTGTTCTTTTGAAAACGGGATTCGACCGATCTCTCTAGTAAACAGTAAAAAGCAGACATACAAGAGTGGTTGGAAGCAATATTAAATCTCCTTGGAATTTTTTAAACGACCAGTCTAATTTGTTTCGAAGTAGATGAACTCACAAACTACTCACAAACTCATCAATATATAATTCTCATATTTCCCATTCAATGTCGGAAAATCGGATTAATATTTTATTGCTGTTTTCTATTAGCATTACAAATTAAGAATATTTCCTGTTTGAGAAATAGTCTCTATGAACATTAATGCATTTTGTAAGATTTCTTGAGATCTTATGATAATGTATATATGGTAAATAAACATAATTAATGTCAGAATAAAAAAAGGTCATCATTGAAAAAAGTGCAAAAACTCCTTATTTACTATTTCCTAGATTTTTTGTTGATGACTGTTTGGTCGGTGCTAACAGTTGCCATCCAGTTAGAGAATGCTGATTCTCCCTTATCAACTATTTCGGAAATGTTTTAAATCAGCTATAAGCAATAGAATAGAATAATCAAATCTTGCATATTGCATTGATTAAAGCTAATCTCAATTCATTTGAGAATAAACTTGTCATTGCAAGTGAAATCATGCAGAAAACATTCTGCTGATGCTGAAAACTCATCTTTATTTCTATCCACAAATGATTCGCAGGCGAAGGCGTCTCGAATCTCAGTTTAATCGCCAGTGGAATTTCCAAACCAGAAATTTTCAATGCTATTAGAAAAGGAATTGGCAACAAGTTATTATTAGTCCAAAATTGACAAAACAAAAGCAATTCATATTTATATTCAAACTAACAAAATTCCAGAAAACTTTTAAAATTAAAATGAAGTAAAGTGCTTAATTTGTTGCGCAATTAATTTAATAAATAAATTCTTTTCGAGCGAAGAATCAGAAATTAATTGTCGTATCGTGTCGCAATTAATGAATTTCCATTAGGCTAGCATTATTTTTTATATACGCGGTTGGGGATTTGTAATTGGCGCCTTTCTGCCAGAAAATTGATCTATTACAAACAGTCGCCAAACAGAATTTAATCACTAGAAAGGTAAAGATGAAACGACGCATTTCTCACTAATCTTTAGTAAAGAAACTGAGCTACTCATTATAATAATAAATTGTAGCAATAATAATAATTATTATTTTCCTTTTACTTATATTTTCTAATATAGCAACATAGTAATTTATGGTATTAACAATCCATGAATCATTCTTAAATTCTTCGTTTGGAATTTCTTATAAATAAATTCTTCGGCGCTATGTATCAATTTTAATAGAAATAATAATGATAAGGAATATGACAATAAAGTAATGAAATAGTAACAAACAAAGAAATAAATGCACAACATAAACTGATTAAATGGATTCTCTGGTTAACTTCACTGGATATTATGCTGATGTCCCAGTGTCGGAGAATTATTATTTATTATTACATTCTACATTACATTCTACATTCATTCTAAAATAATTACATTCTAAAATAATTACATTCTAAAAGAGAATTACATTCTAAAATAATGGCAGGATAAGTGTTTCTTCAACATCAGCTGTTTTTAAATGGTAAAGAATCTTTATTTCACTTCTGAAATCTATTGTATTATTCAGAAGCTATGATAAAAGAAATTTATTCTACTAGACAATTCTAGATAATTCTACAATGGTGCAGTTCTTCTATGAAAAATATTTTTTAACAGAATTTTTAGAAGGAATTTTTAATTCTTCATATATTTTTGGTAATTTAGGCCAAGAAATAACTGGGATTAATTTTTGTTGTGTTGCCTCATCAGTGAAAGTTTGAGCGACAAACAATTATTATAATCAATAAAGTAATAAAGTAATATATAGCTGGTATCCAGAACATGAGCTCTTCGTTTATTGTAAATTTTTCATAGACCACAATGCAAAATTCACAAAATATTTCACACTTTCCAGCCAAACCCTTACAAATTCCAAATTAAACGATTTCTAATCAGAACAACTCATTTTAAATTAAATCAAAATTTACAAATAAAAATTTGGAATAAATATTTGACATGTTCTAAATTTGGTCAAAAAATTCTTGAAATTTTTCAAAATAAGCGAAATTTAAAAAATGAAAAAATTTATTCGAGCAAAACTTTAGTCAATTTATCTATAAGATATAAGATATATAATTTTAAATTTTGCTAAGATAATGTTTTTTGATTAAAATTACCAAAGTGAGGGACATACTGAAGTAAAGAAATTTTTTCCAGAAAATTTAATAATCAATCAAAACAATTAAAGTTACTTGAAGATAGAAAAATTATTAGCGATAACGAATGACCGATTTATCGCTGCAAAATTTATAAGGATAACCATCTTGGCTCTAATAATTATCGCTCAACGCTTTCCTCCTAATATTTAAATATACTTTCAAATAACAAATCTAATTAAGTAATCATAAAGAATACGATAAACGAACCGGAAACGAAGGTTATTTCATCGAAAGCTCTTGTTGATTTAAATTTTGACGCAAATTAAGGAGTGGCGAAATATGCTAAATACGAACTTTCTGATTCCCTTCCTTAATTTATGTTTTCCTTTGTTCACCTTCATTACGATGACAAAAAATCATTTTTTTTGCACTGAAATGAAGGCAAAATTCACCATTTTTTCTCAGTCAACCATTAAATTTATACGCATATGACCGTGAAATGTTGCTGTATTAGTATGTCTCAATTAGCGAAATTTCGCTATCTTCTAAAATTCCGATTATTTGTAAATTTTCTATTCCCTTTTTATAATATTTTTTATTAAGAAATCACTACTTAAAGTTTGTAAAAAATAGAGCAAAATAAAGTAATACCTAATGCTTCATTGTTGAAATATATAAACTAAAAGTTATAAAAAAATTTTTGGAAAATTAAATGAAATGAGCATGGGAATGAACGGTTAAATTCATCTTCCCAAGCGATTTCTAATACTTTTAATAATTTTATATTATATTTTTAGTAATTTAGATGAGCTTTCAGAATAAATTTATTTAAATTGAATATTCATTTATAATATGCATTAAAGATTAGATTTATTTTCAATAAGCAAATATTTTGAATTTTAAATCTTTAAATCTTAAATCTTCTTAAATGATATGGCATATACAAATTTTACATCGCCGCTCGAATTTCAGGATTTAGTCGATTTCAAAAATCTCCAATTTTTAATTAGATATTCGGTGCCTTTTCTGTCCCTATGCTCGAGACATTCGTAATAAATTCATTATAAAATCTGGGAATTCTACAGATTTTATCCTTTTATTTTTAATTCCTAAGTGGTCGAGATTTTTCCACTTTAATATTTCAATATTTATTTATCTTCAATATATATATTTAGTGAATATGTAATATGCTATGCGTATTTAAGCTTGAAAAGAATTTTTGAAATGGATAATAGCCTCTTATCTAATAATTATAAAAAGGATAAATGCATATTAAAATATTAACACTAATATTTTTAAGAAAGTGAATTTAATGGCGAAAAATATTCTCTTAAGATGTTTGCTTATCTATTATTGGAAAGAACTACCGCTCCTCGAATGTTATATAACATCATTGATTTGCAAATAATACTGCTTCTGGTGTTAACATGAAAACATTTCAATAAATTGATCGCAAATGAAAAAGAACCCTCATATTTACGAAAGCTTTCAAGAGAAAAGAATGGAACTTGTGACGGTTTGACGCTGGTCGAAGCAATCATAACACATCATAGCAATCATTTTAAATCGTATTTAAATTTATCTAATCACTCTACTTTTAGATCACATTAGAGTTATTTGTTGATTGAAATGAATGTATTCCTAGTCCAACATCTCAACATTTAAATTCTTTCTTTCGCTCGGAATATAGCAATGCCAACAAAATGGCGACCAGTAGCATGATTG